GAAAAATCGAAGCCCTGATGTCTGTTCGGGAGGTGAAGAGGACCGGCATTCCGTGTCCTTACCCGAGAAAGTGGGATTCGATCCCGTATCCGGCGAAGTTCAACCTGATCAACTTCACGCCGTTCAACGGAAAAGGCTCGCCCACTCAACATCTGATCTACTTCAAGTCTCACTTGGGAGTAATCTCGGGCAACGAGCCTTTGATGGTTCGGTCATTCGTTGGCACCCTTCGCGGGCCTGCCTTCGATTGGTACCGCCGTCTCAAGCCTGGAAGCATCAACAGCTGGGAGGACTTGGAAGGCATGTTTCTCGCCCATTTCTTCGATGATGACACCGAGGTGTCGATCAGGACACTCTTCGACGAGAAACAAAAAGGCGGAGAGTCGGTGGATACCTTCATCAAACGCTTCCGCAATCAGGCAATGAACTGCAGGGATCCCGTCACGGAGGAGTTCCTCTTGCAGACTTGTCAGAACAACTTGTCCATTAACATCTTGGACGTGATGGGAATAGAGCCACTCAATACCTGGAAAGAGTTGAAGGCTCGAGGAGAACAGGCTGAACGCTTCATCAGAAGGCGGAAGGTCGAGAGAAACCAACCGATGGTTAACCCTCTGGATTCGGATCTCGTACCTCATGATGAAGAGGACGTACCTGCAGCAGTTATTGACGATGATCAAACGTCACAACAGCAGTCCTGGGAACAACAGGAGAATTCAGACGAGGAGCTCCAAAACGAGTACTCGTTCAAAGACGAAGACGTTCCAGCTATTTTCGAGACCCTTCTCGAAAACAACAAAATCAAACTCCCGCCCATCACGCATCAAGAGGAAGATGGCGATTCTGCGGATCCAACGTACTGCGAGTACCACAGAAGGATCCTCCACCCCACCAAGGAATGCTTTGCTCTCAAGAATAGCATCCAGACCTTGGTTGAAGCCGGCGTTATAACGCTAGGGTAAGCCGATTGAAAACGGCAATACTCCAAAGAGTACAAGAGTATAAACTGTTCCTCAATACTCCAAAGAGTACAAGAGTATAAACTGTTCCTCAATACTCCAAAGAGTACAAGAGTATAAACTGTTCCTCAATACTCCAAAGAGTACAAGAGTATAAACTGTTCCTCAATACTCCAAAGAGTACAAGAGTATAAACTGTTCCTCAATACTCCAAAGAGTACAAGAGTATAAACTGTTCCTCAATACTCCAAAGAGTACAAGAGTATAAACTGTTCCTCAATACTCCAAAGAGTACAAGAGTATAAACTGTTCCTCAATACTCCAAAGAGTACAAGAGTATAAACTGTTCCTCAATACTCCAAAGAGTACAAGAGTATAAACTGTTCCTCAATACTCCAAAGAGTACAAGAGTATAAACTGTTCCTCAATACTCCAAAGAGTACAAGAGTATAAACTGTTCCTCAATACTCCAAAGAGTACAAGAGTATAAACTGTTCCTCAATACTCCAAAGAGTACAAGAGTATAAACTGTTCCTCAATACTCCAAAGAGTACAAGAGTATAAACTGTTCCTCAATACTCCAAAGAGTACAAGAGTATAAACTGTTCCTCAATACTCCAAAGAGTACAAGAGTATAAACTGTTCCTCAATACTCCAAAGAGTACAAGAGTATAAACTGTTCCTCAATACTCCAAAGAGTACAAGAGTATAAACTGTTCCTCAATACTCCAAAGAGTACAAGAGTATAAACTGTTCCTCAATACTCCAAAGAGTACAAGAGTATAAACTGTTCCTCAATACTCCAAAGAGTACAAGAGTATAAACTGTTCCTCAATACTCCAAAGAGTACAAGAGTATAAACTGTTCCTCAATACTCCAAAGAGTACAAGAGTATAAACTGTTCCTCAATACTCCAAAGAGTACAAGAGTATAAACTGTTCCTCAATACTCCAAAGAGTACAAGAGTATAAACTGTTCCTCAATACTCCAAAGAGTACAAGAGTATAAACTGTTCCTCAATACTCCAAAGAGTACAAGAGTATAAACTGTTCCTCAATACTCCAAAGAGTACAAGAGTATAAACTGTTCCTCAATACTCCAAAGAGTACAAGAGTATAAACTGTTCCTCAATACTCCAAAGAGTACAAGAGTATAAACTGTTCCTCAATACTCCAAAGAGTACAAGAGTATAAACTGTTCCTCAATACTCCAAAGAGTACAAGAGTATAAACTGTTCCTCAATACTCCAAAGAGTACAAGAGTATAAACTGTTCCTCAATACTCCAAAGAGTACAAGAGTATAAACTGTTCCTCAATACTCCAAAGAGTACAAGAGTATAAACTGTTCCTCAATACTCCAAAGAGTACAAGAGTATAAACTGTTCCTCAATACTCCAAAGAGTACAAGAGTATAAACTGTTCCTCAATACTCCAAAGAGTACAAGAGTATAAACTGTTCCTCAATACTCCAAAGAGTACAAGAGTATAAACTGTTCCTCAATACTCCAAAGAGTACAAGAGTATAAACTGTTCCTCAATACTCCAAAGAGTACAAGAGTATAAACTGTTCCTCAATACTCCAAAGAGTACAAGAGTATAAACTGTTCCTCAATACTCCAAAGAGTACAAGAGTATAAACTGTTCCTCAATACTCCAAAGAGTACAAGAGTATAAACTGTTCCTCAATACTCCAAAGAGTACAAGAGTATAAACTGTTCCTCAATACTCCAAAGAGTACAAGAGTATAAACTGTTCCTCAATACTCCAAAGAGTACAAGAGTATAAACTGTTCCTCAATACTCCAAAGAGTACAAGAGTATAAACTGTTCCTCAATACTCCAAAGAGTACAAGAGTATAAACTGTTCCTCAATACTCCAAAGAGTACAAGAGTATAAACTGTTCCTCAATACTCCAAAGAGTACAAGAGTATAAACTGTTCCTCAATACTCCAAAGAGTACAAGAGTATAAACTGTTCCTCAATACTCCAAAGAGTACAAGAGTATAAACTGTTCCTCAATACTCCAAAGAGTACAAGAGTATAAACTGTTCCTCAATACTCCAAAGAGTACAAGAGTATAAACTGTTCCTCAATACTCCAAAGAGTACAAGAGTATAAACTGTTCCTCAATACTCCAAAGAGTACAAGAGTATAAACTGTTCCTCAATACTCCAAAGAGTACAAGAGTATAAACTGTTCCTCAATACTCCAAAGAGTACAAGAGTATAAACTGTTCCTCAATACTCCAAAGAGTACAAGAGTATAAACTGTTCCTCAATACTCCAAAGAGTACAAGAGTATAAACTGTTCCTCAATACTCCAAAGAGTACAAGAGTATAAACTGTTCCTCAATACTCCAAAGAGTACAAGAGTATAAACTGTTCCTCAATACTCCAAAGAGTACAAGAGTATAAACTGTTCCTCAATACTCCAAAGAGTACAAGAGTATAAACTGTTCCTCAATACTCCAAAGAGTACAAGAGTATAAACTGTTCCTCAATACTCCAAAGAGTACAAGAGTATAAACTGTTCCTCAATACTCCAAAGAGTACAAGAGTATAAACTGTTCCTCAATACTCCAAAGAGTACAAGAGTATAAACTGTTCCTCAATACTCCAAAGAGTACAAGAGTATAAACTGTTCCTCAATACTCCAAAGAGTACAAGAGTATAAACTGTTCCTCAATACTCCAAAGAGTACAAGAGTATAAACTGTTCCTCAATACTCCAAAGAGTACAAGAGTATAAACTGTTCCTCAATACTCCAAAGAGTACAAGAGTATAAACTGTTCCTCAATACTCCAAAGAGTACAAGAGTATAAACTGTTCCTCAATACTCCAAAGAGTACAAGAGTATAAACTGTTCCTCAATACTCCAAAGAGTACAAGAGTATAAACTGTTCCTCAATACTCCAAAGAGTACAAGAGTATAAACTGTTCCTCAATACTCCAAAGAGTACAAGAGTATAAACTGTTCCTCAATACTCCAAAGAGTACAAGAGTATAAACTGTTCCTCAATACTCCAAAGAGTACAAGAGTATAAACTGTTCCTCAATACTCCAAAGAGTACAAGAGTATAAACTGTTCCTCAATACTCCAAAGAGTACAAGAGTATAAACTGTTCCTCAATACTCCAAAGAGTACAAGAGTATAAACTGTTCCTCAATACTCCAAAGAGTACAAGAGTATAAACTGTTCCTCAATACTCCAAAGAGTACAAGAGTATAAACTGTTCCTCAATACTCCAAAGAGTACAAGAGTATAAACTGTTCCTCAATACTCCAAAGAGTACAAGAGTATAAACTGTTCCTCAATACTCCAAAGAGTACAAGAGTATAAACTGTTCCTCAATACTCCAAAGAGTACAAGAGTATAAACTGTTCCTCAATACTCCAAAGAGTACAAGAGTATAAACTGTTCCTCAATACTCCAAAGAGTACAAGAGTATAAACTGTTCCTCAATACTCCAAAGAGTACAAGAGTATAAACTGTTCCTCAATACTCCAAAGAGTACAAGAGTATAAACTGTTCCTCAATACTCCAAAGAGTACAAGAGTATAAACTGTTCCTCAATACTCCAAAGAGTACAAGAGTATAAACTGTTCCTCAATACTCCAAAGAGTACAAGAGTATAATTGCCCCGGTGGTCCACGGATATCAACGTCCCCGTCACAGGCCAAAGACCCACGCAAGCAAGAGATGACAAACAGCTCTTGCGTTTGTTTGAAAGGAGTTGCATTTATTTTGTTTTCATTATGTACCGGTCTTATAAAAAGGCTATCTTTTTATTTCATTGTAACGAACAAAGTTGTAATGAATGCAGCAATGAATACAGCGACTTTTTCCGCAAACAGTAACATTTAATAATAATGAAGAATCGAAAAGTACTGCATGAGATGTTCATGTTAATTTTTATGAGCTTATGAATCAATTGAACTAGAGTATATTTCAAGCAAGTATTATGTTAATACAGTGTGAGCATAATAGGATTTTGACTGAATATTGTGCGTTTCATTCATGGGGTTTATGAACTATGTGCAGTACACCTCCGTCAAGCCTTTGGGTGATAGAGTACTTATAAAAATAAAGACTTCTGAAGAAAAGACTCAGGGCGGCATTTTACTTCCGACCACTGCACAGACTAAACCTCAGGCAGGTGAGGTTGTTGCTATTGGGGAAGGAAAAACCATTGGAAAGACCAAAGTTGACAGCAGTCTTGAGGTAGCTCTTTTGAATCTCTGGTACTATGGTTTTATGGCTGTTATAATTGTTTTGGATTATTTCTCATATATCTGCTAAGATGCTGTTTCAATTAGATTAAAAGATCAATCTTTACTTGGTTCTATTTGAACTGATAAAACTTTTTACACGCAGACTGGAAAACAGGTGGTGTATTCTAAGTATGCAGGGACGGAACTGGAATATAATGGAGCTAATCATCTTATTTTGAAGGAGGAGGATGTTGTAGGGGTTCTTGAAACAGAAGATGTTAAGGATCTCAAGCCTCTAAACGACCGGGTCCTTATCAGATGTTGTAGGGGTTCTTGAAACAGAAGATGTTAAGGATCTCAAGCCTCTAAACGACCGGGTCCTTATCAAGGTTAAATTTCTATCCTTACAATTATGTTTGCAATTATGTGAGCAGTATTCCTTGTGCATTATTGTTTAATACTACTTTTCCTCAGCTTCTGCCTGTAGAGGATCTTTTAGATAGTCAGCTTTGCTGAAACTTCCAACTTAGTTTGTCGCTAGAAATGAGAAAGAATTGCGTGAGAGATGTTAGGACATATTTGATAATTGAAATGTAACAGTTGTCCAATGTTGGAAACATGATAAGAGGCAAACATAAGTTTTGACATGGTTGATAATCTGTCAAACCTTAATTTCCTTATGTTCCTGCGACTGAATTATGTCGTTGTGCACTCCCTTGAAAGAAATTAGCTGTAAGTTTTCTTTCTGATAACTATCCTGGACGTGTTCTTAGTTGGACCACATTAGTTTGAAATCCGATCTGTAAAGGCCTGCGTTCGGTGATATGATTTATGTTCCTTAATTATGTTAGTGTCTGCTTTAATTGTATTGAATACAAATGTAACATACAGTAAGAGAGTACATTATTTTATCACAACACATGGTTCAAGTTTGATGCGCCCAATGCCAAAATGCTGGCTTGCAGCAATATGGTGTGATGACAATGAGTATGCTTTAGAAATTCTGTGACATACAATGACGATAAAAAATCAATGTTGACTATTGATTATATGTTGTGCATCTCTGAAGTGATCTTCAGCTGCATTATGGTTTTGCCAAAGAACATCGAGGGAAGAATGTATAAAACATAATAGTCTCAGGAATTCCAGAAACTATCACTTGCGGGTTTTTAGGTTTCGTAATTAGGAATCACTGGATTCCTGGTCAGTGTTCACGTGCAAATTGTTGTTACTCTAATTTATATATAAATAATGTTGTTGTATAAAACAAACTGCACATGTAAGCAAAGTCCGTGTGCCTGCTGATAGTTCTTTTGGTTGCCAAATAATAGTCATAGAATGTACCAATTTATTCCACCAAGTGAAGCAATCCATCAGATTACAGATTATTGGTTTCTTAAAAATCTATTTGACCATTAATCTTACAAATAATTAAGGTGACTTGCAATCTGAAATTAACTTCAAGGCTAGCCTTCGGTCATAAAATCAGGTCATCACATCCATTTTGAGTTTCAGGTTGCTGAAGCTGAGCAGAAAACCGCTGGAGGTTTGCTTTTAACCGAAGCTGCCAAGGAAAAACCCTCCATTGGAACGGTAAGATTGCCTTTCCTTCTCCTTCAACCACGACGATGCCATAACTTTGTAGTTCAAAAAATTATGTGGAAAATACAGGAAGAGCCCAGTTCCAGTTGCCCTGGTATTCATTTTCACAAGTGTTAATTGTTAATAGCCCCCCTTGAGTTCTTTTGTTGTGGATAGACTCCGTGTACTCTTGCCCAATTTGTAGATAGATCCCTCAAGGGAAATGTTTTAGACTCTTTTACCCTCAGGAGTCTATTTGTCAAAAATTAATTTGGTCTCTGAGGGTGAAAAGGGGAGAGAATTCCATTCATGGGTCTATCTGCAACAATTTCACTACATGGGGTTCTGTATGCAACCAGGTAGTAGTACAGGGGTGTATTTGCACTTAATCGTTTCCAAAACCTGGAGTCTTCAGATAAGGAAAAGCGTATAAATGCAAGTGACACATTTGATATGATGATTGATTCTTTTTTATATTTTGCTGTTTTGAATCAGGTCGTTGCGGTTGGACCTGGAACATTGGATGAGGAGGGCAACAGAAAACCGCTGACCATCGCAGCAGGCAGCACTGTTCTCTACTCCAAGTATGCGGGGAACGAGTTCAAGAGTGCTGATGGTTCCGACTACATTGCCCTTAGAGCTTCGGATGTCATGGCTGTTCTCTCCTAGAACTACATAGCATTGCTTTAGCAAACAATATAGTTTTGTTTCGGAGAATGCATGAACTTTTGAAGATTTTGCGTTTAGTGCAGAGGCAAAAAGAGGCCATTGCAGCTTTTTCTAGTTTGGTTCGGTGACAGTGCGTTGTCTAATATATTTCAGTTTTGAGTGGTCATTACTTTTCTACAGCTTGAGTCTCAGCATAATGTATTGCCTGAAGTAGTTTAGGTTCTCGGCTGTTTTGTGTCACTTTCCAGTTTCAGATTTCTTAAAAACTTTTCATCTTGGTTTGAAGGTTTCTGCACTAAATGTGTATGATTTTGTGTGGGAACGTCGGTGAGTGAAAAATCATTCATATCTAGTGTAGACATTGTAGGGTTTGTGGCTTCTATCCCAAGCCATTTTGTTAGTCTTTTTGCCAGTTAAATACAGGACAAAAGGTAATTTATTGCACATAGTTCATATGAAACTATGTGACAGTTAAACCCCATAAGGAAAAATAGTTCCAAGCTGTAATTAACTCTTAATTTATTTAAACTGAATATGACTGGAAGATTGAGCAAGATTGAGCAGATGCTGATGAAACATAGACTGGCGAAGAAACTACCAAGGCCAAAGAAACACATATACTTGTTGAGAACCCAACATAGACTAGCGAAGAAGCTACTCAGCCAAAAAATCACATACATATATTGAGATCCTAGCTTGATGAACAATGCTCGAGTAAACCAGAAAACACTCCTTATGGACAAATTTTCAAAACCAACCCTTTTCACTATTTAATTGTAAAAAACGACCTCTTTTCAACTTATTTAGAAAAACGACCTGGTTTCAGCGCTGTCGCTGAAACCAGGTCGGTTTTTCAAAAAAATTTTACGAAACTTCACGGGAGTTGGAACTCCCATGAAGTTTAGCATACTTTTAAACTTCACGGGAGTTCAACTCTCGTGGAGTTACATGCTAAATTTTCTAGAGAATCGCTCTCTGGGAAATTTAGACTGTAACTTCACGGGAGTTGAACTCCCGTGAAGTTGCAGGTTTTACAAAACATGCACAGGCTGCTGTGCATGTTTTGTATACATCTACCTATTTTGTATACGTCTACCTATTTAACTCATATATACAACTATTTACCTGTTAACAATAATTACTACAATATATATATGATTTAAACACGCACGAATCAAACAATACTCAAAAAGATCACATATCGAGCTATAATTGATCCACAAAAGTATAGTATTTGAAAATTCATACAAGTTACAAATTTTAACAAAATAAGTTCAAATACAACCCAATATAGCTCCTCTCCTTCCTCTCCCTCTCTTCCCCCTCCCCCTCGCTCTTCCCCGCCCCCCGCGCTGATGAGCCTCGACTATCTGAGTATCCGGCTGTGTGTGAGGCTGCGAAGTGCCGGCTCCATCAGCATGTGAAGTGCCGGCTTCATCAGCATGTGAAGTTCCGGCTACCGGCGTCATCGTCACGTGGCCGTCGGCGCCGAGTGTACGCCTGCCCAAATGATCGAGACCTGTCCTCACGGCCTGTGAACTCGTCGACATGAGTTTTATGAAACACCTGCGCTATGATCTTCTTGATCTTGCTGAGGATTCCTAAGCCACCTGATCCTGAATCTCAGGCACAGTCGCATCAATATCAGCCTCAATGTTATCAAAAGCACGGACCTGTGAGGTAAACAATTTATTAAGTACCAACTCAAGAAAAATATGTTATAATTTAGCTTAGAAACTTACGTAATCTCTCTCGTAGTGGGATGAAACTGTCTGTCGGTGGCCGTGGCATGTGTCCAGTTAATGGCTGTGGGTCACGTGTGATCCATCTACGTGTGATACCCCAATACCAACCCATATACACGGTATAGTCAACAGCTATGGGCCTCGTATCCTGGATGAAATCCCACCTGTGAGTCCACCTGTCTATGTAGGCTGCACGGACTACGGCCCAGTCGGTATGGTGCGAAGTAGGTCACCGCCGACGATCGATCTGCTCGACAGGATCTGGCACATGCTGAGAGAGCGTAAACTATCGTAGCACACGGTCAGGGACATACATCTCCACGATCTCCCAACAAATCAATGGAACTCTGGCTCTCTACAAGTTGGGACTATCTCGGCAGATGGGTGAAAGAGAATGCATATCGAGCTCCGGCGGTGTATAGGGTCTCCACTTGAACTGAAATAAAATAAAATATTATTAGTATCAACAACAAAACTATAATATTCATAACGACTTGAGATTTATATTTACCTGTTCGTGTTGGAAGCCATCAAGCTCATTTCGATAAAACTCACGATGGCGCATCGCTGATCGGTACTTAGTGTACCGCACGTTATACCTATATGCAGAATAGAGAATATATAAGTACAAATTCAGTGCGAATAAAATTTGTGTGTACAATTATACCTGTACGCCAAAGGAAACTGCCCCTGTAGGTCACGGTTCACAAGTAAAGTAGGGCGTCCAATATGAATGCGCTCCCATGACCAAATCTGTATCAATGTGCAGCATCCCTTGAATTCTTTATTCTGCATCAGGGATACTCTACCCAGTTCTCGATACAAGTATGCCAACATCGCACTGCCCCACGACCATACGCCGCATACGTCAAAATCCTCTAGCAACGACAGCCATTGTGCATGTACAAGAGTCTTGCTCGCATCAGGAAAAAGCACGCACCCTATCATATGCAATATGTAAGCACGAGCATGGAACTGAAGCGTCTCCATACTGGCATCCTCTGGTATGTCGCCCTGAAATGTCTGACGAAGCCACGATAGCTTCAACGCACCACTTCTCAAGTCAGGAACCTGTTCAAGAAGCCGGGCACATACCTCCAGCCAACTATGATCATCGGTGCCCGTAACTGCCGGCCCATCGATCCGGAGCCCAAGTATGACGGCCACATCCTGTAAAGTGATGGTGCACTCCCCTATATGCATGTGAAAGGTATTGGTCTCTGGCCTCCACCTCTCAATCAGTACAGTGATAAGCGGCCAATCAAGCCTGATATATCGAATCGTCGAACACTCCCGAAAACCGGCCTGAGAGATCAACGCTAGAACTCTCGCTTCCTCAATGACCCAAGCTGAATGGCTCTGGGAATGTTCGATCATGGTGATGTCTGGTACGGGCTGCACGTCAAAAAGAATTGATTAAGTATAATGCGAAAAATTAAAATTAGTGTCAATGCTAACTAGCATATACAAAAGATGTTTTACCTGTCCTGAGCCAATAGCCAATATGGTCTGAAACGTGGCTCTCCTGGAGGGTCAAAACATCGAGGCATATCGGTCCCGGATCCATAATGAATATAACTGAGAATAACATTAGAAGACAATGTACAATGTGTTAGATCTTTCTATTAAAATACTCATCTAGTTATATATAAACAAAAAACGAATGCGCAACGTGAAGAAAGCAATAACTTGAAACCAAACATTAAATTTATATAACATAGTACGAAACGATACAAATTACAATAAAAAATAAGATACAGAAACAAACAACTCACGAAACCGCTACAAATTACAATCACAAATGACATACGGAAACAAACACAGAACGAAACCGCTATAAATTATAATCACAAATGACATACGGAAGAAAACACAGATCAAAACCGCTACAAATTACAACATCAACGCCTAATCATAACTGGACAATTATTTTTGTTATGGCCCGGTTGATCGCATCTACTACACTTATTTCTCCTCCTAACTCCTTCACGATCGTCATCCATACAATTTCTAATTCGTACGGAACGAGGGCGCCCCACCGACCTTTTACACAAAGGAGGTAATATCAGTGGCCCATCTTGTGTCCAATATCGACTATCATATGGTGGAAGAAAACACTCTTTGTATGTTTGTCGATAGTTATAAGTAGAATACCAAGCCACGACGAACTCATAATGTGAAATCCTCGCACCACCTTGTAGATCAGAACAAGCCGCGACAACATGTGAACAAGGAATCCATTGTAATTACGGTACATTGCAAGTGCATGTACACGAGTGATCCACTAACATGTTAACTTTGTAAGAGCGATTTTCTCTATGTGATATTCCCTCAATGACCTCCCATTTATTAAAACTGTATCTTACGATATGAAAGGATCGAGCTTGCACAATCCGAGCTGCTAACATTTTATCATTTTTCGGTGTGAGCTCCGAGTGGATATTTTCACCAAGTTCGCGACGTCGTAGAAAGAAGTTATTAAGTCTGTAGAATGTTTTAGCAACTAGTGACTATATTGGCATACCGTGTGCTCCCCTGAGCATGCCATTGAAACTCTCTGAAGCGTTCGTAGTCATCATATAGAACCGTCTCCCGCCATCTTCACATAAAGCCCACTTATCAACATTGTATGGTCCCAAACTAGTTTCGATCCAATCATGTGCAGCTCGGGAGATAAACTTAATCCTCTCTCGTATTTGGTCATAAACTAATTTTTCTGTTGCACAGCCGGCTTGCCAAAGAAGATCTTGAACCTGATCGTTTTCATTTTTTTCTTGAAGTTGTCCCTAATATGTCACAAGCAATAACGATGTGCATGTGGTGACGGGAAATGATGTTGGAGTGCTCTTGGAATTCCTTTCATCCTATCAGATATGAATGTAATCGGCCGCACCCCCACACTAGGGATATGATATCTAATGCATGCAAAAAACCACGCCTAATTCTCTGTGTTTTTAATATCAACCACTGCAAACGCCAAAGGAAACAAACCGCCATCCGCGTCAACTCCAGTGGCAACAAGCAAAACGCCTTTGTACTTGCCGTATAAATGGGTGCCATCAATGCTAAGAAGAGGACGATAATATTGGAAACCCTCAATACAAGGCCCAAATGCCCAAAATACACCCGTAAATCGTTGTTCTTCGCTATCAAGAGGGTCTGATGAAACTTCATATACAGTCCCAGGATTTTCTCTTTTAAGTGCTTCAAGATAATGTGGTAAGATCTCATAAGATTTGTCCCAACCCCTAAATA